AAGGTCCAGATTCCTCCCCCTGCTCATCCTGCCCCAGTACATCAACCTCCACCTCTGCCGCATCGTCCCCCACCCCCACCCCCCACCAGTTATATTACAGGGATGTCTACTACAAATTCTTACATGTCAGGGGAGGGTTATCAAAGTCTTCAGTCAATGATGAAAACAGAAGGACCAACTTACGGAGCTTTACCACCGGCCTATGGACCACCAACTCATCTACCATATCATCCTCATGTCTATCCTCCCAACCCTCCACCACCAGTTCCACCTCCACCCCCTACTTCATTCCCCCCGCCCAATATTCCACCTCCTACTCCTGGATATCCTCCTCCACCTACATACAACCCTAATTTCCCTCCTCCAAGACTGCCTCCAACTCATGCAGTACCACCTCATCCACCTCCAGGGCTGGGAATGCCACCAGCTAGTTACCCCCCGCCTACTGTTCCCCCAGGTGGACAGCCACCTGTACCACCTCCAATTCCACCACCTGGTATGCCACCTGTAGCAGGACTTGGACGTGCTACATGGATGAGATAGCATGAGGTAATTTGCACGATATCCTTTATGTTGACTAGGCAGGAGTAGCTAGCCAAAACCTACTTTGTAAAGATGAAGAGGAGGATAATTTGTATAATTTAGATGAAGAAATGAGGCAGTGAAATGAAAATTTAGCTGATCTGTTTGCAGTATTGTTTATGGTGAGTTATATAGGCTTCTAGATTTTAATCAGCTTTGCAGTATCTATTCTAACTTTATACATTTGACTTAAGTTTAAATTGTCTTGAGTTATTCCAGCACTGGATTACTTTGTACTAGCAAAACCAGCCATATTGGCTCAATTATATCAGTAAGAAGAAAATTTCCTTCTAGAAATCAGTGCCTATTTTTGAGTATCAAAATAGCCAGATACCATGAAATTTTATCTATAGTAAAACTTCATTTTTAGTAATAATTAAAACAACACAATGTCAAGCATAAATGCTACTTTATTTAAGAGAGATTCTGAATGCTAGCTGACTGGAATCATTTTGAGGTGTTTGCGTTGCTGATATTTTTGTTTTGGAATGTACTGGTATCTTAAAGTATTGTATGTTTACACCTATTTGCAAATTCCTGTACATAATATATATATTTTCTAAGTGTGAAAGTCTGAATGTAACAACCTACTGTGATGTACATCCTGATTATAAATGGGACTACTTTGTTCACATCTACCCAAATAAAATTGGTTCTGAATTTGGTGGACTTCCAGGTTTTTCATAATAGTTCAGAATTCATAACTACGGTACTTACCGCAAGATGTTTCAGCAGTGGTCTCCCAAATCTTATTCATCAGTTTATTTAAAAAGAATGTGTTTTATTTTATTCAACTAGAAGTATACACTATCACAATCAATCTCTTACTTCATTTTTACTAAAATATTTCAAATGAATCAAAAAAATCTGTACTATTACTTTCCCTCCCCAAAAAAGCCAGAGTGGTTCAATAATAGGTAAAAACGCGTGCTAAGGTCTAAAGAATTTTGCTATATACACAACAGCAGGTGCTAACTCTTCCAGTTCTTTGTAAATAATATACAGAAAATATAGCAGGGCCGTAAGATCACAGGTTTAACAGAAATCAAACTTTAAACTGATTTCTAAAGCAGCACAAATAGACTTTCCCCACATTATGAAAAATATACAATTTTATCACTTTACAGTCATGCACTTTGAAAAAGATCAGTAGTACTCTTCCCCCACAGTTTCTAAAAAGATAAAAGGTCACTTTAACACTGATTTCGTTTAATATCTAATATTTGGATTAAAAATGTGCCATTCTCAAACAAGGTTGTGCTCAGCAGTCTTATCAAGGTGCAAAGAGCCAACTGAAGCTGGTTACACCGCAGCATTTCAGCAACTTTTATGGAAATGCCATTCACTTCAGCCACTCCAACAGAAGTCAAGGATGCGATTTTACTCTCCTTAAGCAAGCAAAGTCCATTTGCAAACAATGGATGCTTTCTTGGCCAGAGGATTGCAGAACCCAGGGCTTCCATCTTGAGGAAATTAACTTGGACTGTTGCCCCAAATATATCAATTTAATGGCCGCTATTTCAAGGGATGCTCCCCTCCAACTTGATGTTCAAAGCTCCTCCGGTAGTTTTCACTGAAGACTTAGCGCATAGGTAAGTGAATTTAAATATGCATATAAAACATCTTTTTAGACAACTGAAAATTCAGCACCCAAGTCATCCTGTAAAGTCATTGAGTGTCATTTTACCCCAGGAAGATACTTCATAGCTCAAGTGGAGCTAAGTATGAAGAGTAGCAAGCCTAAAAACCCCCCAAAATAACACCCCAACGTACAGCACTGTCATGTTCTTGTGCAAAATCAATGATGCACGTCTTACATTGAAGATTGATGCTGCCAAATAGAATCTTAAAGAAACAGGGTATACCCTAAGAGCATCAAGACTGTTCAGCTGAACTACTGGCTACCCTCTAAACTGGCTCTTCAGGATTCGCAGTGGTAATGGACCTCCGCTGCACCGCTATTTCCCTTGTAGGCGAGATCTGCAGGTGGAACAAAACAAGCTTTGCTTGAAGTCGTTGAATAGATTTTGAGAGAGATTTGATAGCAGGGAATATTTGAATGAGAATTACATAGCTGGTGAGACTAGTAATCTGATTAGTATAGCTCTTGTCTTGTTGAGAGGACCTGCTCGTCTAATATACTCCTAAAATAGCAAGCACGTCAACACAATTAACTCCCTACAAGTGCTGGCAACATTTGCATTGCTTTAGTTAAAATTCACTGCCATAAATTAACCTTGTTCCCAATATGCTTAAATCCTCTGCTTAATCCAGTGATGAGATGCCACCAAAATTAAAATGGGCTTTCAAGCAGATGATAGATTAAAGTAACCCTCTATTCAACATCGGATGTTAAGGAAGAATGATGCCTCTGCTTTACATCACCTTTTCTGGTACGAAAATCTCAAGGTATAAATTGTACAGGAGGAAGAAGACAAGTAATCAATGGTGACTAGAAACTGGAGGTCAAAACAAAAAGCAAAGAAGAGGAAATCCAGGATCCTCTAAAGATGCCGTATTTTAAAGGAGACAGACAAACTCTAGAATGGATTTTTCCAGACACATTGGATGTAAATATTATAAGACTTACAGTTGGCTAGCTCAAAGTTCACTGACTGAGCAGTAGTAAGAAATAAACTACTGGTGAGCGTGTGAGTGCGCGCATGCGTGTGTGTGTTTTGGGGGTGGGCCTTGGGTTTTTTTCCAAACAACCTACTCATCTTGACTGTTACATTTTTATTTCTGCAATGAACAATGAAGTGGTGCTTACCCTTACTGATTACTATGTATTTTGGTTGTATGCCTTCTCTGTGTTTTTTACTGGTTACAGATCTCGGCTCTGACACTCCAAATTACCCAGGCAGCTGGATTATTGTATGCCATGGGACCAATTACCTTTCATAACTCGCAGCATGGGCTCCTGGGTATTGTTATCGGTGCGCCATGTTAATACAATACCACAAGTCAAGAACTCAACTGGTAGAACAAATTAATTTAAGAGGAAGAACCTGTCCAGCTAATTCAGCTGTCTGTAGCTGTGACTGATTCTTACGGAGAATAAAAAGAAAGTGATGGTGTTTGAGGTCACTAAATCTTCAAACTAATCACTAAAATTGATACAACTTTTGAAGAGGAGGCTTTGATCTTTTCACATGCCTGTCTTTAAAATTATTTTACATCAATTATTTTAATAACCAAGCCCCACTTCCTTGGACTGTTGGGAAAGAACATCTAATAAAATACAGGGACAGCTGCTGTGACAACTTGGAAAAAAAGGGGGTCAAATTCTTACAACTACACAAGCAGCTACTCCACAATAGCAAAATATAAGTCCCATTGTTTTATATACAGCCATTAGAAGAAGGAAAAACCCACTTGTTTTGGTTCATTAACAAAAATAAAGCTTGAATGGCAGGAAGTAGTCTCACCCGACAATGGAGTTTTTATTCAGCTCTGCAAGGTTGTTGTTTGGTTACCTTACACAGGAACCAGTATAGGTGAGGGCTCCAGCAAGAACATTAACAAAAAAAAAAATACCCAAATCTTCCTTATGTGAAAGATGAGCTGCTTTCGAAGATCCTGTGAAGCCGTAAGCACTGTTAGGACGGCAGTTTCTGCTGAATTATTTTGTAGTAAAAGCTTTACAGGAGAAGTGTTGCCATATTTGTAGGGAATACTGGTGTGTGGCTAAGTGACTTCAGTTCATTCACATTACAACTGCAGAAATCTTATGTTATTTGTTCATGAAAAATAGTTCATTAACAGCTGATACGGAGTCTGTACGCTTGTGTGATGAGTACCACTGTACAACGTACAGAGTGGTATCAGTGTTTTTAGCTCGCCACTCAATATTGTACACAGCACCTTGTGAAAACAGTTGCATGTCATTCTTCAAAATAAGGACCTCCAAAAAAGTGTTAGCAGCTCAGGAGCTTGGCAGGCAGTAAGCCAACGAATTCAAATTGCTTTTTCCTTGGAAAGTGCTGCCTGGAGCCACTAACCCAGCTATGAATCATTGACAAGCGGGTGGACCGGAGCGATACAAACTGTGACTTCTCCGCAGGTTAAGGGTTCTTCTTGTTCCTCTTAGAAATTCTCTCGAGTTAGTTAATTCTACAAACAGACCATTACAACAAAGCAAGTTTGAACTACGATACAAATGATGCAAGTCTGGCATTATTGGATGGTTACCCATTGAACAGTAGTTCCAGAGCACCACAGCCTGGAAATCAGGCCTTTAGCTGCCATATTTACACTATTGTTACAAAAAAAGCAAAAAAAAAAGAAAAAAAAAAGAAAAAAGGAAACCCTGAAAAAAACTCAACCCCAACTCCCAAAGAACAGGCAGCCAGAAATGCTGAGCTCTGCCTCTTTAGTCTTCACAGAATCAATCGCGTCCAGCCTCCGGGACAGTGTTCCTACAAGGGACCCTTGAACTGGTTTCCCGAAAGATGTTGCCTGATGGAGGGTTTGGAGCTCGCAGCATCACCCAGCTTTCGCCAGACAACCTGTAAGAAAAAATAAAGGGGTAAGGAAGAGAAAGACAGGAATTAAAAAAACCCAAAGCCTCTGATGAGTTGCAGTATTTTCATAATTGCAGTCTGAAAGTTCCTAGAACTGGGCTGTAATTCTCAGCAGAGCCACTGGATGGCATCTGTGCACCAGTTTCCAAGGGAAAAACATTGATGCATTTTTCTAATTAGTCTCTCTTGAAATAAGAACCATTTTTGCCTGGGGTAATAGTATAAAACAAATACACTAGGTTCAGAAGTTAAGTTCAATGGTAGGTCAACCCTGCCATGCTTACAGAAATGATGTTACCATGAACAGACAAGAAAATGAAAAAGATAATGATTAAAATTTTATATACATATATATATATATGACTTTCTAAAAACATACATTTTATCAGTCTAGATCCACTGGGGTAAGAGAGGCTATTTTTTTTTAAAAATAAGAAACTGCAAAGCACTTCACAGCTGCCTTGAGTCTACATAAAATTAATATTTAAAGAAAAAACAGCTGATGATACACAAACAGAAATGAGTCCATTTGGGAGGATGAAGTTATGGCGTTTTACCTTTCCCCCTGCAGGGCTACAAGGGAATGTGGCATTAAGCAGACAAAAATATCCTAAAAAGCAGGCCCTCGTTCACTCTGGTCTTGGCTTTGCTTATAGGGATCCAGCAACCAAAGGGAAGTGCCTCGGCCCCTGCCAAGGATGCTTGCAGTGATCTAGCTCTGCAAGAGGCACTTGTGTTCTTTATACCCTCTTTTTAGGGTTGAGGTGGTTTTCAGAATTTAAACAGAGGGTTAGGCTCCTCTCTGCTGCTGCGAGGCACGAAACGATGCCACCTGGGCTGACTTCCAGTGTGGACTTCTAAAAGAGAAGGCTCCGTAAGCATCCCCCTCCCTGCTGTGGGCACTGCTGGTACTGTTGAACAGCACATCCCCGGCTGCAGGTGACATGCAGCTTGAGCCATATTCTAGCAGAAATGCCAAACTCTTTGTTCAGAGCCAAAGCATGGCCAAGGTGCTTTGAAGCTGGAAGCAGTGCCACAGCAGCAGACACCACAGAGCAGAGGTTTGGTACGAACACTCACCGTACAGGACGTGGCAAGCTCAGTTAACAGTGTGGTTGCCCAACATGTTGGCAGTGCTAAAAGCACCCCACACACCATGATGCTGTTCAACAGCTTCAGACATGCGTATTCTCCCTCTGATGTTATCTTATGGTTTAGGCTCAAACCCATTCAAGATGTACAGCTTTAAAGGTAGCAACCAGTTGCTGCTCAGCCCAATCCGAATCCCTAAGGACACACTTGGAGTCAACTGCTAACAGGACTCTCCAAGCCAGGGAGAGCCCTTCGCACAGCTCTTGGTCAGCTAGACTAGCTACTCTGCACCGTTGAAGGCAGCAGAGCGGGAAGTATCTGCTGAGCAAAGGCTGCTCCGTGCAGTGAACGAGGCACTCGTGTTACTGATACCCAAAGCAGTGGTCAGCAGAGCCTCCACTCTTCCCTTGTGCCTGTGGATCTCGCATCAAACAGGGCTTGTACGCAGCAGACCCCTGCTCCTCTGTACTTCTAAGACCACAAAAGAAACCCCTAGAGCTGCTGAGAGGAGTTATTACATTGCACATTTCACGAACAATCGCCTTCTCCTTTTCACTCAGGTCTTCTTCATAGTTGTCTTGCATTTGCCTGTCCAAATTTTCATGGACCTCAAGGACCTACAAAAAACAATATTACAAAAGCATTATGCTCCTCAAATAATTAAGTGTCCCTAACAACCTCATTAACCAGTAGTTAAATTGGCAGGATTCACAAAGCCTTGAGAGTCAGAGCACTGCAAAGACGAGCATGACACCAAGTTGGGTGCCTCCATCCTCTCCCTTCCCTGGTGACGGCATGCCTCTGTCCCACCACCTGCTGTGGTGTGGTGTGGCTGCCACCACAGTCCAGGAGGACCATGTGATAATTGGCAGCGACTTGCCTGTGCCCACAAACACATCTCTTTGAGGAAGGCTGCTGGTGGCCCCACCTTCCAGGCAGCTCCCCCAAGGCAATCCCCCGCAACTCATGCTCCCTCCATTCCCCTCTTTCGCAGAAGCGGAGCTTCTCCACTCCTTTCTGCTAATCCGAGTCATGGGGCAACTGTGGTCAGCCCAGGCCAGCAGCTTTTAGGTCTAACAGGGTTTTAGC